GATGAGGGGTGGCAAAATTTTCCACTGTTCTCTTCTTCTTTTTCATTTTGGTTTTTGAGGTGGGGTCTCACTATGGTTTTCAACCTTCCTAATGCTGCGACCCTTTAATACAGTTCTTCATGCTGTGGGGACCCCCAACCATAACATTATTTTCGTTGCCACTTCATAACTGTAATTTATCCACTGTTATGAATCGTACTGTAATATCTGATAGACAGGAGATCTGACATACAACCGCTGTGAAAGGGTCGTTCGGCCCCCGAAAGGGTAGCCACCCACAGATTGAGAACTGCTGATGTAGCCTAAAAGCTGACTTTAAATTCAGGGTCATCCTGCCTCTGCCTCCCAAGTACTGGGATTACAGATGTGTGCCACCACATCTGGCTGCCTCTTCCTTCTGTGTTTTGTTTTGTTTTCTTTCCAGGTTTACATTTCCTTCAATATCCCTGTTCGTTTTCATTTCTCCTTCCTATGGCCCTGTGTAGCTGGAGTTTTCCTGCCTGGCCCACAGTCAGGACAAATCTCTCTCACCTGCCAGTCCCACAGCCGCTCAAACCCGACCAAGTAAACACAGAGACTTATATTGGTTACAAACTGTATGGCCGTGGCAGGCTTCTTGCTAACTGTTCTTACAGCTTAAATTAATCCATTTCTATAAATCTATACCTTGCCACATGGCTCGTGGCTTACCGGCATCTTCACATGCTGTTTGTCATCATGGCGGCTGGCAGTGTCTCTCTGACTCAGCCTTCCACTTCCCAGCTTTATTCTCCTCCTTGTCCCGCCTATACTTCCTGCCTAGCCAATGGCCAATCAGTGTTTTATTTATTGACCAATCAGCAACACATTTGCCATACAGAACATCCCACAGCAGCCCTATGGCAGTAACCACCTCTGTCTCCTGCCCTTCATGTGTGGCTGCATAGTGGCCTGATGTCCCTCACAAACAGACACCCCACCGGGCATCTCAGACCTGCTGGATGCCTACCCTGATGGGAGCTGACCTCTGCCCCCAGCCGCAGCTCCTACAGCAGTCGAGGCAGTTAGAAATCAAACAGCTGGGGAGAGACAGCAGCTGCCTCCCTCTGGCTGTCAGACCCAGCTGCTCCCAGAACAAGGCCATGGAGGAGGGGTTGAGGTTTCCTTCCTAGCCCCTCTAACAAGTGCCCGGAAGACCCTTGGGCGTCCCCCAACTCTGTGGGAGGGATGGGTACTTCCAGCTCTTGCTTGCCCAATACCCACCACCACCCCCATCCCAGAGCTGGGCTGGCTTGGACTTGAAAAATTCCAGGGCAGGCGGAGGCAGCCTGCCTGGCAAACAAACCTGGTGCCCAGAGCTCCCACAAGAAAGGCCCAAAGATTTCCTTCTAATCCCCAAACTCCTGGCTTGGAGTGGATCTCATAAATCAGAAAGGGATTTCGTTGTTTTTAGTGGTGCGCCCTTTCTCCTGCTGGTTGGCAGCCTTCCCTCTCAAGCTTTTCCTCCCCCCCTCTGCTTCCTGGGGGTGGGAAGGCGTGAATGGGGGGGGGGGACTGGAGAGTCGGTAATGGAGGACAGGCGAGAGGAAAGCACCCCGACCTAGCGTGGACCACCTACGGCTGTGCCCACCACTTTCTGACTAACCAGGGACCTCATTGCTATTCTAGCCCTGGCTAGCCTGGGAGACAGCAGGAGATATGTTCTGGAAGCATGTTCAAGGGCTTCAACAGCAGCTGTGTCCATCCATGCCTGAATCCCTTCCTGCTTGCTGCCTAACAAGGCCTCTGGAGTCTGCCTTTTGCCTCTGACTATCCCTCCACTGGTCCAGAGAGGACTTACATAAGCCTCCATATACTAGCCACATGTGCCCTTCAGAACATGGACTCTGGCTGGACGCAGCCTGCTCCACACCTTACCAACTGTGGGGCCTTGAGCAAGCGCCTCGGGCTGTCTGGGAACCCAGCGTCCTCACTATAAACAGAGGAGATGCCATCACAGTGCCTGCCCCAGAGGGCCACGGTGGTGGTCACCTGATTAATATGTAGCCAGTGTTCAGAGCAGGTCAGTGTTTGCTTAATCAGTTGCTCCCAGGGCTCGAGTACAGGACAACACAGCTGACAGACAGCTCCTCTCTCAGTATGCACCCAACTGCTGCTCTTCAAACTGCTGCTTTTCCAAGCTCTTCATTTGCTCAGCAAACATTTATGAGAAACATTCCACACGCCTCTGTGTTTGGCCTGGGGTTTGCTGTGTGAACAAAGCCAACTGGTCCCTACACTCATGGGATTTATAGTAAATGCTTAGACAGATACATGCTTGGAGAGGTGTTTTTGTTCTGTTTTGGTTTTGGTTTTGTGACAGGATCTTCTTATGTGGACCCAAATTTGCAATTTTGGACCAGATTGGAGCTTTGGGGTCATAGTTCAAGCAGAGCGGAAGAATCAAGGGGATTAGGGTAATGAAGCCGCAGGACCCTACTGGGTTTAGAAGTCCACCGGCTGCTGGATGAAGAGTAGCTTGGCGTGGGCAGGCAGCTGAAGAGGACAGTTGTCAGTATGCTGGGGTGGAGAGGCAGCTGTGGAGTAAGAATAGGGGGACAGGGTGAGCCTGTGGAGGGGTGAGGCTGTGCTGGGGTGAGCCTGTGGAGGGGCGAGCCTGTGGAGGGGTGAACCTGTGGAGGGGTGAGCCTGTGGAGGGGTGAGCCTGTGGAGGGGTGAGCCTGTGGAGGGGGTGAGCCTGTGGAAGGGGTGAGCCTGTGGAAGGGGTGAGCCTGTGGAGGGGTGAGCCTGTGGAAGGGGTGAGCCTGTGGAGGGGGTGAGCCTGTGGAGGGGTGAGCCTGTGCTGGGGTGAGCCTGTGGAGGGGTGAGCCTGTGCTGGGGTGAGCCTGTGGAGGGGGTGAGCCTGTGGAGGGGTGAGGCTGTGGAGGGCTGAGGCTGTGGAGGGGTGAGCCTGTGGAGGGGTGAGGCTGTGGAGGGGTGAGCCTGTGCTGGGGTGAGGCTGTGGAGGGGTGAGGCTGTGGAGGGGTGAGGCTGTGGAGGGGTGAGGCTGTGCTGGGGTGAGCCTGTGGAGGGGTGAGGCTGTGGAGGGGTGAGGCTGTGGTGGGTGAACCTGTGGAGGGGTGAGGCTGTGGAGGGGTGAGCCTGTGGAGGGGTGAGGCTGTGGAGGGGTGAGCCTGTGGAGGGGTGAGGCTGTGGAGGGGTGAACCTGTGGAGGGGTGAGGCTGTGGAGGGGTGAGCCTGTGGAGGGGTGAGGCTGTGGAGGGGTGAGGCTGTGGAGGGGTGAGGCTGTGGAGGGGTGGACCTGTGGAGGGGTGAGGCTGTGGTGGGTGAGGCTGTGGAGGGGTGAGGCTGTGGAGGGGGTGAGCTTGTGAAGGGGTGAGCCTGTGGAGGGGTGAGGCTGTAGAGGGGTGAGGCTGTGGAGGGGTGAGCCCGTATAGGGGTGAGGCTGTGGAGGGGTGAACCTGTGGAGGGTGAGGCTGTGGAGGAGTGAGGCTGTGGTGGGTGAGGCTGTGGAGGGGTGAACCTGTGGAGGGGTGAGGCTGTGGAGGGGTGAACCTGTGGAGGGTGAACCTGTGGAGGGTGAGCCTGTGGAGGGGTGAGGCTGTGGAGGGGTGAGGCTGTCGAGGGGTGAGGCTGTCGAGGGGTGAGGCTGTGGTGGGTGAGGCTGTGGTGGGTGAGGCTGTGGAGGGGTGAGGCTGTGGAGGGGTGAGCCTGTGGAGGGGTGAGGCTGTGGAGGGGTGAACCTGTGGAGGGGTGAGGCTGTGGAGGGGTGAGCCTGTGGAGGGGTGAGGCTGTGGAGGGGTGAGGCTGTGGAGGGGTGAGGCTGTGGAGGGGTGGACCTGTGGAGGGGTGAGGCTGTGGAGGGGTGAGCCTGTGGAGGGGTGAGGCTGTGGAGGGGTGAGGCTGTGGAGGGGTGAGGCTGTGGAGGGGTGAACCTGTGGAGGGGTGAGGCTGTGGAGGGGTGAGCCTGTGGAGGGGTGAGGCTGTGGAGGGGTGAGGCTGTGGAGGGGTGAGGCTGTGGAGGGGTGGACCTGTGGAGGGGTGAGGCTGTGGTGGGTGAGGCTGTGGAGGGGTGAGGCTGTGGAGGGGGTGAGCTTGTGAAGGGGTGAGCCTGTGGAGGGGTGAGGCTGTAGAGGGGTGAGGCTGTGGAGGGGTGAGCCCGTATAGGGGTGAGGCTGTGGAGGGGTGAACCTGTGGAGGGTGAGGCTGTGGAGGAGTGAGGCTGTGGTGGGTGAGGCTGTGGAGGGGTGAACCTGTGGAGGGGTGAGGCTGTGGAGGGGTGAACCTGTGGAGGGTGAACCTGTGGAGGGTGAGCCTGTGGAGGGGTGAGGCTGTGGAGGGGTGAGGCTGTCGAGGGGTGAGGCTGTCGAGGGGTGAGGCTGTGGTGGGTGAGGCTGTGGTGGGTGAGGCTGTGGAGGGGTGAGGCTGTGGAGGGGTGAGGCTGTGGAGGGGTGGACCTGTGGAGGGGTGAGGCTGTGGAGGGTGAGCCTAGAGTGTCCTGTCCTGGAGAGCACTCTGGGCTTTAGGGGGTGTGAGATTTGGTGATATTTGGGTATGGGAATGGATCTGGGGTGCGTGTTGGATGGGTCCCTTGCTGTGGGCGGTGGCATCTGAGGAGATGGTGATGGAGAAGGAGGGGGAGGGGCCCATCCGTTCTTCCCCACCCCTGAAGGCTTCTGAGTGTGTTCCTTTGTCTTTTAAAGCCTTGCAGTGGTGCTCTTAGCTCAGAGGACAGCGTGCCCACGGGGCTCAGGGCTCAGAGGACGGCGTGCCCACGGGGCTCAGGGCTCAGAGGACAGCGTGCCCACGGGGCTCAGGGCTCAGAGGACGCTGCCCCTTCTCATCCGTTCCCAGCCCCGTGCCTCGCTCCTGAGTGCTCAGGGTCTGCCTCAGCTTAATCCTGGCTCCACGACTTCCTAGTCATGATGAGGTCTTGGGGCAGGTCACACAGTACCTCAGTTTCCCCTTCTGCAAAATGGCAATATAGGGTGGTATCTAACCATGGGTTGCTTTAAGGATGGGGGCTAAGCACACTGTGAAAACTGATATCTGCTCAGCGGAAGGGTACCCATCCATTTTGTCCTGACTGAGTCACCCTGGCCTCTGAAAGCCCCACAGCTCGTCTGCGCAGGCCGCTCTGAGCCCCTCCTCCATCGCTCCGAGCCGTGCAGGCTGCATTTTAAACCCTAGTCAAGGCCTCCACCGCGATCTCTGGTCAGTCTCATTTAGTGAGATGCAGCCTGTGGCGCCAGCCTGTCAGCCTCCTTTCTGTTTTGATGAGGGAGAGAGAGGCCGTGTGATGCATGCTGAGCTCAATTTTGTGACCACAGAAAGGGCCGTGGATGGTACTTTTACCAACCCCCGGCCCCATCATCTGATGAATGGCCCCGTCTGGAGAGGTGAGAGGGGGCAGGCTAAGGATGAAATGGAGCTGAGAACCAGCAGACACCCCCTTCCTTGCTGGTGGGTAATTCAGCATGGGAGGCCTCCGCAGCTTCTCCCAGGTCAAAGGCTGCCTTTCCTGTGAGTGTGAGATACCGGACCGCAGAGACTGGCTGAACGCCACTTAGTGGGTTAGCCAGCGACGAGGCCAGGGCACGAGCCCCGTCCCAGCTCGCTGCTCACGGGGCTTCTTCACTTCCTGATCTTCTCTCTTTCCAAACTGCACCGTTGCATTCCCTGACCTTGATCAGAGAAGGACCGGGCACTGCACCGTCCCCCATGTTGAGTGCACTCACCACCCCTGGTTCCCCCTGGATGAACACCCCCAACCTTTCCTGTGGCGCGAGGGCAGCACAGCCCCTTCCATACAGGCTGTGGAGATGCACTCTGCCTTGATCACCCCCGACTCTTACCTATCTTGCAAATGATTTCCTCATGGCCATGGCTAGTGGCTTTGGTGTTTGGACTTAATACCATGTGATGCTTCCACACGTTCTCTCTTCTACCATCTTTTAAGGACGGGGCCACATACCCAGGAGGTACTCCTCTCTTCTCCTGCTTTCCACGCACTCACTGGGCTCTACCTGTAGAGGTGACCGGCCCTTAGCAAAGGCCCAACAAAACTGCAAACCCAGCAGCCCAGGAAGTAAGAGGCCTTTGATTCTGCAGTCTGTCTGCCTGCCACCCCACCCCTACACAACCCCAGGCTATGGCAGAGAAGAAGGACATGGTTAATGCCAGATCTGTGGGGTTGCTCTCTGGCCAGGCACAACAACACACCTCTGGTACCAGCTTCCAGAACTGGTCCACTGCCTGCCGGCAGCCACTTTCTCAAGTTAATGCCCTCCTTGTCTGCCATGTGTGCTGGGAGGGGTTTTCCCAGGGGGAGCTTCTTGGAAGAATTGGATTTCTCCAGTAGCTGCTCTATAAACAACGGAGCAAGCCGAGGTCCAGAGGAAGCCGGCTCATAGGAGCTCCCACACCAGTGCTCACAAATTAACCCCCACGGGAGCAACCTGTTCAGACTAAGGGGAACAAATTCTGGAAGATTCTTCTTTTCCTCATTCCTCATTCCCCAAATAAATCTTGATTAACTTTCCAGCCAACCTGCTGGTCTGCCTTGGGGAAGGCCAAAAGGAGATCAGGACTGGAAGAAACAGGAGAAAAACAAGCCTTCGTACTTAAATAGTGCTTTATCTTTCCAGATCACTTCCGACACTCTAAGTCCAACATTCATTCCGTGTTATTACATGTTCAGTCACTCATCACACGTTCAGTGAGAGTCTACTCTGCTGGATGCTAAGAGAGATGTGCAGTAAATTAGACCTGGAAGAGAGAGAAGCCTGAGCAGGGATACAGAAGCAACAGAATGTATTAACTGGCTTTCTGTTGTTGTAACAACATACCTGAGGCTGGGGTGCTTTGTAAAGAGGATTGCTTAGCTTACAGTATCAGAGGCTGAAAGTCAGCCCTAATGAGGGTCCCCTGTCTGTGTCACATCATAGAGGGCACCTGTGAGATGGAGAGAGCACGTGATAGACAAAAAGTCAGATGGCAAAGAGGAGCAGTCTTGTTTTTCCCAATCACTCACTCTCTCAGGAACTAACTGGAGTCCCAGGAATACTATGTTGATCTCTTCTGGGGGCAGCACCCCCAAATATCTAACTGCTTTCTGCCTGGCCCCGAAGAGTTTAGTTGGAATTACTCTACCCGGAGACTAATGTTCCTCCCACAGCCATAGGCTGACAAACAGCCGGGTGCCCGGTGTGGGATACTTCCCTTCAAATTGTTAGTCAGGGCATCTGTCCCACAGAATCCCCAAACAATATAGGCACTGCCGTTGCTCTTGGCTGTCCACCAGGACGGGATAGAAAGACGCTGTTGCTGACGACTCCACATACCTTGACAGAGGACATGGAGACATCAATTAGGTACCGACCACGAAGCTTCCTCTCCACTGGTTAACTTTTCATACCAATGGAAGGTGTTCCGTGGACTGCTGGAGTGGGAGGGGGGAAAAATCCGTGCTGCCCAGTTGTGAACCCCGAAAGCCGCAGTAATGACTGGCTTGGCAGTGTGCCCACGGTAGTAGTGGTGGCGTGAATGGTATGGGGGTAACGACTGTTTTCTTTCTGATCCGATTCAAGGCCTGCTTCACCACAAGCCTAGAACTGTAACTCTGACCACGAACCCCCGTCTGGGAAGCTCATACATGTGGGAAATGAAGCTGTTGTGGGTTCATGAGTTATCCCCTCTAGTCTGTCCAGACCTAGCTTCCTGCAGGGCAGTGAAGCACACAGGAGGACTACCCCATTCCCGCCCTGGAAGGAGCAAGTTCAGGGAAGCAGACAGAGCTCACTTTCCTCTCTACCCTTCCTCAGGCTGCCAGGAAAGGGGTAGGGGGAGTGCACGGACTTCCTCAGAGCCTCATTCTCCTGCAGATACATGGAGTGGACGAGGTCATCAGGTGTCTCATCAGATGTCGTCTCCAGGCTTACACAGGAAATTCCCGCAGCTGTCAGAGCAGATGGAGAAGACTCTGACTGTCTTCAGGCCGCGGGATAGAACACAGGCCAGGTTGAGGAGGCCTAGATGAGACTTGTTCAGGTTGCTCTTAGGATTGATGTCACACGGGATGGCGGTGTGGGGGGCCACTCAGTTGCAAGGCTGGGATCAGAGTATTTAACTTTGAAGGACCTTTATCATCGGACAAGGACTCCCGGAAATCATCTTCCATAACCTATGAGCTCCTTCAAGACAGAGAATGTCTGATTCACATTTGTTCCCACCTCCCTCTTAGGTTACCTGATACTGGTAAGACATTCAATCAATATGTGTGGAAGGAAGGCAGGAGAAAGGATACATTAAGTTGAGCTACACAAGTGAGCTAGCTGTCCTGGGGGATGCAAGCCCCACCCCTCCCCATGCCAGGCCCACTTTCCTGGAGACTGTTTTCAGAATGCGTCCTGGTTTCTCTCTTGGCCCTTCAGGTAGAATTCTATCAATACTTCCATTCCTGCCTCCCCCAACCTTTGGCATGCCCAAAAATCATCACCCATTGCCTCCACAGCATTTGGTCAACTGAATTGAGAGTCTCTCCTCATTCGTAAGCAGAGATACTTGAGGAAAAAGACCTGAGCTGTCCCTTAAGCTGAGTGACAGGTTTTCCAGCCAGAGGGTCAGAAGACCACACAGCAGGTAACTGAGGTGAAGGCTAAGGATGAAGAAAGAGGTGTGTGGGAGTGGAAGGCTGCCCTTGAGAAGGGGCTGGTTGTCAGCCAAGCAGGACAGGAATGTGCTGTCTGGGCATCCACAAGGCAGCTAGGACAGGATGGAGACACCCTGACTTGGCCAGTAAGGGTTCAGGACTCCAGCACAGGAGAAGAGAGGAGCCTCCGTGATTATGGAGACCAGCGGTCCTGAAGAACCCCTTCAGACCTCAGTCTTCCTGAGTTCTCACAAATAATCAAAGAAAGCCGGAGAGACAGCTTTCAATATTTTCAAAAGCTTAATAAAATTCTTATCACATGGGAAGATTGCAAAGGATAAATTAAAATGTCGTGTGTTTTGCCTTTGGCTAGAATCCTATCAGCACGACATCCCCGCAGAGAAATATATTACTTGATATATGCAACTTGATGGATAAAATCTTTCAAGATGGAGTCCTGAGCCCTTGCAGGCCATGCTGGAATGTCTCCATTCTGCTCCTAAATTCCTTGTGTCCCTCATAACAGCCAGTTTGTCCGAGCCCAGATGTCACATTCCTGCTGCTCTAAAGATGTCTTGTTGACCTTGTCTGCCTGTCAGCCACCACCATAGTTCTAATTGCTTCACCCCCGGCTGAGATGGCCCCAAGAGACCACACAGCTGACCACGATAGGCCTTAGGCTGGAACGGAGTCAACAGATGCTAGCCACCTGCCCTTCTAGCCACACCACATGCTTGTCTGTGTCCTCCTGGTTTCATTACTCCTTCCTAAAGGGAACCTTCTCTAGTTCTGCTGACTAAGCAGCCACTCCTCTGCTGGACATCTCCACTGAGCCCCAGTGTCGAATGCCATCTGTAAGCCCACAGCTGCCAGGTGAGAGGGTCCCCAGATCCGCGTAAGGTTCAGCAGTCTGATTAATGCTTAGTTATGTGTGCAATAGCCCTGACATCAATAGTGTCACCAAGAAAGCTATTTCCTTCCTTTTCCTTTCTCTAAGCCATGCCCACGTTCAAAACTCAACTTACCGCAGAGCGGTAACTCCATCCACGGATAAAGAATTGCTAGGAAGTGAAACAACACATAGTTCCTGCTGACCGTCAAGGAGCTGCTTCAAGGAAGAGACAATTATCAGTCTTAGTGGTCCCAAGAAAGCAGGAAGAAGGAAGTTCACAGCTATCTGAAGAGCTCTCCCTGCTGCCTGTGGCCACAGATCAAAAGCTAGGAGGGACGGAGCATCCTTGGCCCTGGCACACAGCCTACCCAAATGCCGTTCCTCTCTGGAGTGAGGACGGATCACTTTCAGGCCCCTGTTTCTTTCATCTCTAACAGAGGCAATAATACACCTGCTTCAAAGGATGGTCATGAAGATACAGGGAAATGATGTTTCCAAGTATGTCTCATCTACAGAAGAAAAACAAGCACGGACCTGGGGCGGAGGGAGAGCCACCTTCTCAGCCGAGCACAGCACGCTCTCACATCTCAGGTATCCACGCCTCCTGCTGCTTGACCAAGAGTGTGCGATTTCTCTCTCCAGCCTTAGCCGAGTTGCACACCTCCCTGTACAGCCACAAGCACCTTCTTTAACAAATTCACACACCCTGTGGCTCCCACGATGCTCAAGTTCTTATTCCGCACTCCAAGGCCATCACTCACCTCTGTTCTTGGTGTTAGTCTTTGGATACATGCAGACATCTGGACTCCACAGTGACACCATACAGACACCTGAATTCTAAAAGTGACTCTATCTTCCCCATCCCTGTGGCTTTTCCCATGTCCTTTGTCTTAGTGAATGTACCCTAACCCATGACTTCTCTGGTCCCTCATTCCCCACGTTCTGTTACCAAGCTCTATAACCTCCATTTCTTGTACCCTGGGCCGTCATCTCCCGCTTCTGTGACCACTGGTATTTCATGCCCAGCAGAACTTCTCTTTTTAACCTACCACACCTTCATTTTATTTCAGGCCAGCCATGTGCCTAGTCCCTGTTCCTCTATGACGCACGTTCAATTTTCTAGCCTTGCTTGCAGTTAGAGGGGAAATGCCACCCAGTTTTGACCAGTGGAGTAAAAAGAGCTAGCCGTGATGGACTTCTGGATAAGTTTTGGTTTGTTTGTTTTTTGTTTTTCTGCTTTGAACAGGATTATTATGTCTGGAGTGGAGGTATCCACCTGCCACCAAGAGGGAACGATCAGCAGAATCAACAGCCAGTGTGTGGAGGGTGGCTCAGCAGAGGATGGGACATGCCTGGATTCTAGTGACATCACTGAGTAATCCAAGTATCTTCAATGTTACCTTGTTTTCTCATTCCTGTGGGGAAACAGTAAACGTCATGACAAGTTTTAAACTCTTTTAAATTTTGTTTCACTCGCTGCTCCAAGGGCTTCTGGCTAACACAACCCCTTAATTAGTCTCTCTGGGTTGTCGTGTTTTGTTCTTTCATTCATTTACACACGCAATTCTAGAGTCGGCGTCTCCTCTCCTGTGTGCTTTCCATGGTTTCCCATCCTTTAGTGTTTAAGATACACTTGTATAACCGGCTAGTTCAAAATAACTAACCACGTGTGCTTCAATCTGTCCAAGTGGCACTCGGTCCAAAGGCGTCATCTGGAATTCAAATGCTAGGATGGGGTGAAGTTGAGAACACCCCTGGATGTCACCGGGGCCTTTTTCATCACTGTGGGCTATCCTCCCGTACCTGTGGGCTATCCTCCGGTACCTGTGATGGACAATCTTGACTATCACCCTGGGTGTGTCTATGAAGGTATCTCCAGAAAGGTTCCACTAACGAGGAAAGACCCACCCTGAATGTGGGTGACTGTCCGGTGGGCTGAGGTCCTGGACTGAACAAAGGAGAAAGTCGGGGAAACACAGGAATTCTTCTCTTTGTTTCCTGGCTGTGGATACAATGTGGCCGGTGGCTCCCACTGCCCGCCATGCCTTGCTGCCTTGGTGAGCTGCGCGTTTAAACTGCACATCCTAACCAGCTCTTCCTCCCTTAAGCTGCGTTTGTCTCGTGTTTTGTCACAGCGTGGGAAGAGGAACCAATATGACGCCTCATTTGTAGACGCCTCACATCTTATTACCATGTCCCTGTCCGATGCAGTGACGTCGCGCTGATCCAGGGCCCGTGTTGGCCCTGGTGGTCCCAAGAGTACAGATCTGCCAGCCTGTGCTTGGCCTCCCTTCGTTTGGGTTTGGGTAGTTGTCATTTTGTTGTTGTTTGGTTCTTGTTTTTGTTTAAGTCAGGGCCTCGTGCATCCCAGGCTGGTCTCAGACTTGCTATGTAGACTGGCATAATGGAATTTATGATCCTTCGCCCTCCATCTCCCAAATGCTAGGACTGCAGACCTGCTCCACCACACCGGGGTTATGCAGTGCTGGGGATCATGCCCAGGGCCTTGTACAGGTGAGACAGATACTCCAGTTCTCTCTGACCCTGCATGCCACTGTGCTAGGATCAAGTTTCCCTCCCTCCTTCCCTCTCCCTCCCCACCCCACGCCCCCGTGTGTGTGTGTGTGTGTGTGTGTGTGTGTGTGTGTGTGTGTGTGTGTGTGTGTGTGCTAGGAACATGGCTAATTCCTGTCTGCTTTCCCAGCCTCATTTTATGCTCCCTGCCTCTGTCTCTTAACACCAGAGATGTTAGTTACCATGTTTTTTTTTTTATCAAGAGCATCAAATTCTTCCTCATTTATCAATGTAAATTGGTTCCTCCGTCTGCCAGCATGCACTACCATGCCCCTCCACCTAGTGTGGTGGTTTGAAAGAAAATGGCTCCCAGAGGGAGTGGCACTATTAGGAAGTGTGCCACTGTGGGGGGCGGGCTTTGAGGGCTCATATATGCTCAAGTCACACCTAGTGAGACAGATTACTTCCTGTTTCCTGCAAGTCAAGATGTAGGACTCTCAGCTACTTCTCCAGCACCATGTCTGTCTGCACACCACCATGTTGCACCATGATGATAATGGACTAAACCTCTGAAACTGTAAGCCAGCCCAATGAAATGCTTTTCCTTTATAAGAGTTACCGTGGTGATGGTGTCTCTTCACAGCCATAGAAACACTGAGACACCAAGCTAACTCTTACTCTGTTAGAATTCCAGTTAAGTGTTACCTCCTTAGACACCTTTATTTGACTATGAGATTCCTTCTGGATGTAGCAAGGCAAATAATTTCCTTTACCAAGTAAAGCTGTCTGTGTTGTGCACTGCTTGGTGAAATACTAAACACTCCTAAGTGAGTAACTGATGGTGGTCAGATGCAGTCCCCTGTGCCACCATCTCCTGTAAGTGAGGAAATGCTCGGCCTTCAAGCCTCCCTGTGCCCTCTAAACTGGTCAGCTGTCCCTTATGTCCTCTGTGTCGTCCTCCCTTCTCACAGACCCCATCTCATTAGATCACATAGATAGGCTTACTTATCGGTCCCTCTACCCATGATTTGGATTCCTTGGGTTCATGGGCCTTGTGCTAGTCATCTTTGTACCCTCCAAGAAGAACACTCGGCAGGCTTTCAGTAATGTTGACTTTGTAGGTGAAGAAGTTCTCGGTGAGGAATGCTGGGAGCTCTGAAGGTGAGGACTGGTGTGTGTATGGGGGGGTGTGGGTTAGCTTAGACCGGAGGCTGCTGGGAAAATTCTCTATCTAATCTGTTTGGGGAAGTGCTTAGAGGGTTCTGTGTTTCCATGAGCATGTGTGTATCTGCATGTGTATACTCAGCCTGGAAAAAAAAAACCCAAAATATAAACGGCCCCTAATATCAGGATATGGGGATGGCAGATGGCCTCTGTCCTAGAGGTTTAATCAGCAACCCACAGAGGCTGTTTTCAAACGCCCCGTGGGGTTTGGCTCAGCTAAGCATGCTCAGAAGCCAAGTTTGGCACCAGAGGATGAAGGGAACTCAATTGCTCCACCTAAGAAATGAGAGGAATTTGGGTTTTTATCCCTAAAGAAAGGAGAGGGGAAATGTTTTCTGAATAACAGGGGGAGTCTGGTCCTGAGCTGTGAAAACGACTGGTAGGTTTTTAAAGCTGAGACCAGAAATGACTTCTTGTGAATGTTTTTTGTATTTGCTATCATTTAAGTAGCTCGCAGAGGTTGCCACATCACAGAGCCTGTGGGAGTTCCTAACGTGTTCTGTGTCTGGATGAAGGAGGCGTGGAACAGGGCAGCTACCAGGAGCGGTTGGGCAAGCTTGGAGGGAATTGTTCATCCAAAGCAGGGGTGCCCTCTGGAATCGTGAGCAAGACTGGAGGTGACATTTAGGCTTGTCAAAACCCAAGGCGTATTATTATTATTTTTTTTCCAGAGCTGAGGACCGAACCCAGGGCCTTGTGCTTGCTAGGCAAGCGCTCTACCACTGAGCTAAATCCCCATCCCCCAAACCCAAGGCTTGTGATTCTTCCGTGCACATTCGCTTTGACCTTAGGGGTTAGGAGGCCCCTCTAGTCTTGAAAGGCACTACACTGCAAACCTGCCTGTGTGGCCGGGCTTTCACCACACGGCTGGCTCACAGCTGTGCTGCCGTCCTCTCTGGAGACGGCCTGTCTATACTGCCTGCACCTCTGTGGGAATCTGCCTTGACAGGACCGCATGCTGTGTCCTTGTTAGACACACATGTTGCTGAGTGTCCAACGATCTTACTTTACTTCCTGGCTAAAGCCCTCCCCAACCCATGAGCAGAGGCTTTCTCTGGACCAAGCCTGCCCGGTCCCTGCCTACACTCCCTGCCCCCATCTTCTCCCTGTCTCTACCCCTGCCTGTTTTCTTGTCCTCTTCCTCCAGCCCCAAGAACAGCCAAAGCCCTTAACCAAGAGGATGAAAACAAAAAATAAGGTCACCAGATGTGCTCCATTCCATCCTCTGGCTCCTCGGGCCTCCTCACCACAAGCCAATAAATCCTAAGTGTATCTACAGTGAGCACCTGGCATCTCCCCAAAACTCTCTGTCCTCCTGCCTGATAACAAACCTGACTGAGGTGCTCGCATGAGTGGTACTCCTCAGGCTTCCTCCTCCTCATATAGACATGGCCTGTGTGGGTACAGAACACTGACACCCTCAGAAAGCACTCCGTCTAGGTGCTGAAGGGCTGAGGGACCAGCAGCTCTGCCCCCGCCCCGCTCCTAGGTGGGGCTCCCTGGAGCTGGCTCCCACCTGGACCTGGAAGAGTGGCTGGTGCTCCCGAATGGATGAGCATCTGGGCTTCTCATCACAGATTGTTTACTGGTTGATTTTGCATGGCAGGTTAACAGCCCCGCAGCAGCCCACTCCCTGCCAGGGACTTTCAGGAACAATTTCTCCAAGCCAGTGTGGCCCAGTCTGGCCACGGCTGTCCCTCCCCTCCTCACCGGCCACGTGGATGTGACTCATGCAAACTCTCTGAGTCCCCGCCAAGAGCAGCTAGAGGACTGCCCGGATAAAGCTGGCAGGAGTTATTCAGGAGCAGGGGCAACTGAGAGCCTCTGCTGAAATCTGGTGGGTCTCTGCACCTCTTCACGCTCCTGCTCAGCAGGTCACCTGCTACCCAGGCCTGATGTAGCAGTGTGCCCCTGATGCTCTTGTTAAAGCTCACCCCAACACCCCCAGTTTCTCTTCCCTCCCACAGCACACAGTACAGTCAGAGCCCTATAATGAGGCCTCTTGGTTCTTCACTGGAACCGAATATGAATAGCCCACGCCTAGAGCAAAGTACCCAACCTTGTTTTATTGTCATGAACTTCCCATAAGACAGTCATTATCTTTTTTTCCATTTCAAAGAAGAAAAAAAATTAAAGATAAAAAGACTAAGACACACCACAGGGGATTTTTTTAAAGACAAAAATCTACTGCTCTTGTGGTGCTAAAACCGAGGCTGGAGGCTGTGACGTGCTTGTCCAAGCCCATAGAAGATACACAGAGAGCAATCTCCTCTGCAGACGGGGTGATGAAAAGGCTCTGGTGTGGTTAGTTCATAAAGAGGAAATGGATTTATGGGGAATTCTCTGTACTTTCTAGTCAATTTTGCTCCTAAAAGTCTTCTAAGAATAGCTTATTCGATAAGTACATTTTAGTAAACCTTTAAAAAGGAGATTTATTGATGATCATATAGCAAGCACTTGGTCTGGGGTTTAAATACAGGGCACCTTCCTCAGGAAGTCCATATTTTCCCCCCCAGGGCATCAAGAGGCGACAGCAGCAATTCCTTCATCCCCAGAGCTTTCTGTGTTGAATGTCCTAGAGATTTTCCAGCAA